CCACCAAAAATTTGGAACCTTTGCTATAAAAGATTGGATGAATCCCTTCAGCCCTTTTCCACAGCGGGACGTCATGAACTTCAAGGTATTGGGGGCCCAAGACGTATAGTGTCAGCAGGAGGCACCAGGAGCCAGCGTGTGGTCCCAGGGTCCCAGGAGGACACCATCAGCATTTTTGCCAGCTGCATCTGGACCTGCCCTGGGGTTACCAGCTGTACCACCTCTGCCCAGTCACCCTAATGTCTCTGCAGTTCCCGCGCAATGACCGCAAGGTGATGACTCAAGGGAAATGCATGCCTTTCTTCCGAGCTGGGTTTGTCTGCCCCAATCCACCTTACCAGTCTTTGGCCCGAGAGCAGATCAACGCCCTGACCTCCTTCCTGGACGCCAGCTTAGTGTACGGCTCTGAGCCCAGCCTGGCCAGCCGTCTCCGTGACCTCAGTAGTCCGCTGGGCCTCATGGCCGTCAACCAGGAGTTCTGGGACCACGGGCTGGCCTACCCACCCTTTGTCAACAAGAAGCCGAGCCCCTGTGAGGTCATCAACACCACTGCCCAAGTGCCTTGCTTCCTGGCGGGTGAGTTTAGGCTGGGAACAGAGGCGCCCAAGGACAAGGGGGTTATCCTGGGGACTGAGAGCAGAGGGAGGCCAGAAAAACTTCACGAGGCCCCTGGGCAGCCTCTGGGGAGGCTTTACCATTGTTCCTTCTCATCATCTTCTACAAAAACACACACCGAGCCACCACCGCCCCGGGCACTGTCCAGGACTGGCAGAAGGGCCCAGGTGAATACAGAATCTAAGAACGTATGTTCACTGTAAAAATAAATAAGAAAATTCACAAGATCCCACCACCCACAGATAATCATTCTTAGCATTTGAATGCCTATCTTCCCAGGTTTTTTTCTATCCCATCGCTCTACATTGTTTTACATCATTGAGGTTGCACTTGAAATAATGCTCTGTAACCTGATGACTTCCCTTCATGCATCACATCATGAAACCATCTTCTACAGTGGGCTCTTAAGTGGCTGCCTGGTATTCCGTGACATTTATTATCATAATTGATTTTTGTCAACCCGATTTGGAGACATTCAAGTCATTTCTGGTTTTCCTGTGATTTTTTTGTTGTTGTTTTTAAGTTAATGAGCATCCTTGTTGATGAATCTTGGTGCACATTTAAAAAATTTTTTACTAAGATAATTTCCTAGAAGAGGAAGTTCTAGATGAAGAGGAAGATATAGCTTTAATGCTTTTTATAAACTTGGCACAAAGCCCCTACTCCATACAGCCCGTGCACAACCAAATTCTCATTCTGGGGGCTCCTGTCCTCCTGGTCCTCTCTGCCTTT